AGATAGACATTGCAAGGATTCTAGTCGAGGTCGAGAATCCAGCAGATGTACCTAGGATGTTGATCCTGGAGTTTGCAGGGGAGGAGCATGAGCTGAGGCTGCTGGTAGAAGGGGTTGATGAAACTTTTCATAAAGAGAAGTCATACTCAAAGCGCAGAGAAAAGAGGAGATCTAAGGAGTGTTTTAAAAGCGCAAGGAGCAAAAAAGGTGCAGGGGTCAATTTGCACCCGAGGCGCAAGGCGCATGCCTTTTTGAAGCAAGGCACAAAAATACAAAAAAAAAACTAAAAAATCAAAAAATGGTCAGAAAATTCAAAAAATTCAAAAAAAAAATAAACATAATATTAATAAAAAATATAACTTAAATTTTAAAATAATGCTTTAAAAAACCTATTATCTAAAATTAAAATACATAAACATAAGATGTAAAGCATATTCAAATGAGAATTGAAATATAAAATCAAACATATAAAACATTTTCAAGCATGTAAAACCTCTAATCTCTTTTTTCACTCAATTGCTACTTCACATAGCTAATGTAATGTAAAACATATTGCATTCCTGATTCTACGAGCCACCTTTGTGCCACGTCCCTCAAGGCAAGCCCAAACAAGTCCACATTAGGTCTTAAATTCTTAGTTTTCACACAAAAAATAATGATTTTATAGTTTTAATTGCTTTTTAAGAAGACATTTTATTAGGATGAATGAATGAACAACATTACCAAATTGGGGGTTCTCAGAGCCAGCCGTTATGTTCAAAAAAAGCAAAAAAGTATCAAATTTTCAAAAGGCGCACGATTGGGCTGAGGCACAAGGCGCACCTGGTGTGCGCCTTTTGAAAGGGCTGCGCCTAGGACCTAGGCAAGGCGCATACCCTGAAATGCGCCTCGCCTATGCGCCTAGGTGCGCCTTTTAAATCACTAAGAAGTTAGATGCTCTGGAGCTCAGGGGAGTGTAGAGGCGAAAATAGAGGAATGGTAGGAGGAAGGGAGGGAGTTAAAGAGTCGAGAGGGGGAGGAGGGAGATGCTGAGAGGGAGTCGAAGAGTCGAGTGAGGGAGGAGGAAGTTGTTGAGTCAAACTCAGGATTAAGTGGGAAGGCACACGTGAACGAAGGGACAGCCAAAGAGGATAAAAAGGAGGGACAAGTGGACAGAATGGACATGGACCCGAAGTATGACCGGGATTCTCGAGAGGGGCCAGAGAAGAAGGGAAGGGAGGAACCGGTTATAGCTGGCTACAACACTCAAGTGAGAAGGAACAATGATCACCGCTTTAGCAGGCTCTCGGTAGAGTGTAAAAGGAGAGGAAGGGGCAATAAGGTCAAAAATATTAGGGGCTCTTCGGGAATTTCCCTCATATATTTGAAGACAAGAAAACCTGACCTAGCTACTCCGACCAAGAAGAGGAAATCGGCGAACAGCGAGGACTAGATCTAGGTGATAACGAGATACAAAGAGAACGAGAAGATTGGGGTTTGGGGGGAGGGAAGGCGAAGTTCCTTCGAACAGGCACAAATAGGGGAGAAAAGGAAGAGACCTTTGCATCACTAGAAAGAGAGAAGTCTCTGGCAGGCAACAATTTGCTCCAAAGACAAACGTAATAGAGGTTGCAACCGTTTCAAAAGTAAGGGAGGAAGAAGATGGGATGGAGATATTAGATGAAGGTAGGACGGAAAACATGGAGGTGGTTGCGACATTAAGAGATAAAGACTCACCTTTGGCAGGGAAATAGGTGATTCCAAAAAGAGTCGAAATTGGTTTCAGATAACAAGGGGCGAGAGAGCTTAACAAGGTAGGTTTAACCCCTGGAACCCTGTCTGTTTGTACTTCTCCTTCTGGAACATCTCCCATCTCTGTTCCACCTTCAATCAGGGGTAGTTTAGGGGCTTATTCCAAAGGGGAAGGGAAGACAATTTCCTACTCAGGGATCAGGAAGTCTGGCACAAAAAGAAAATGAGGGGTTAGGAGAGGTCTTGGGTTATCAAATATGTAATGTGGAGCTTGTTATTTTGTCTAAAAGTTGGTCTTGTACTCGGGTGATGACTTATCACCCTCATTTGTAACTTCTTTTCTATTTAATAATTTTTTTTATTTACTTATCAAAAAAAATTACTCCCCTTCCCCTTTGTAGCTTTTATTTAGGAGTGTTTTTTCTCATTGTTTGGGTGTAGGCGGTCTTCCCCGACTAACGAGCAAAGCATGTTTGCTTCTACTTTTTTGAGGTGGCCAAAAAAAGGGGACAAGTGTTATGGAGATGTGTAAGGACTGTTGTGAGCTGGACCATTTGGAAAGAAAGAAATTCAAGACTGTTTTCAGGCATGGAAAGAACTAGAGAGATTGTCAATAGAAACCACCATGGTGAGAGTGATTCATTGGGTAAAGCCTATGGAGATGTTTGCAAATTTCAACAGGTGATATTATGAAAAACGAGTATTCATAAAAATAAAATAAATATATATATATATATATATATTATGAAAAACGGGAAGTAGCCAGTTCTGATTGTCATAAGTCCAATACAAACCCTATTTGGTCTCCACCAATGATTGACTACATCAAGCTGAACTTTGATGGGGACTGGTGCAGGTAACCCGGGTCCCTCTGGTATTGGAGGGTATTTAGAGATAGTAAAGGCAGAATTGTTGGCCTATTTTCAAACCCAATTGGAGTATGTGGTTCTTTAAGGGCTGAGGTTATGGCTGTCATGGAGGGACTACAAAAGGCAAAGGACATGAATGTAAGAAAGTTGATTATAGAAGGTGATTCAAAGCTGGTAGTTAAATGGTTGCAAAAGGAAGAAAAAGGATTTTGGGTTTTTAATAATGAAAAGAAGAGATTCAAGTGGCTGACACAAATATGGATGTGAAATTCAGTTGGGTTAAAAGAACAGAATATGGGTTAGTTCATGTACTTGCAAAACAAGGAGTGGGAAGGAATCAATTGTATTGGGCTCAATTGTAGTAACAATTTCTTTTGTGGAGTGTTGAGAAAGTTCACCTCTCCTAATCTTGTAACATGAGATTAACACTAATATATGTTTCCATGTCGTTCCATAACCAGGTCATAATTTTTGCATTGCCCTATACCCAATCATCATACCCATCAGGCCCACTCTCTAGCTTTGGATCTTTAATAATTCTTCAACTCCCATCTTCCAGTGAGAAAAACTTCTATAGATTTAACCCATGGAATATAATTAGCACCATTCAGCTTGACAAAGGTCATTTGGACAGCCACAAAATCTCAGTTCAGCACCATCCTAGAATTGTTTTCTCTGCTAGACTGTCCATAGAGTCAAAACCAGGTTTGAACTATCAAGAATCACACAATTGCACAAATATACCACTACCTGATTGCCTCCACACACTAACAACCACTCTAGTTCAGTATGTAATCAGCAACCAGCAAGCTATATCAATACAACTAGGTCTAAAACTTTCTCCAACCATAGCCGATCAAGGCACCAAAAACAGCATCTAACAACTATAAAGAATTCCACTCAGGATAGAAACTGAAATCAGCATCAATAAACTGATTAAGACTCACTGGAAATCAACACCAACATTGCCCTCTTCAAACAGTCAAGTAGAGGGACTCGCAGCACCACTCAAATCACACTAACAGACCTTGATTGAGGCATGAAAGTCTCCTCCACTTGATCTGAACAATCACAGCAAGGTTGGAACAACTTCCGGTATGAGTATGCTATGCGTAGAGAAGGGGATCTCTATGCACAAATAGATTAGGTCTAAAACAGATCCAGGTAATCAGATGTGTTCTAATACCACGAAACAAAACCTGGATTCAGCTTTAGATAGGCAAAGAAAATAAATAAAACATGAGTGATCTGAATAAGAGAAGAGAAGAAGAGAGTAAGAGAAGGAGAGAGAATGAGAGAAAGAAAGGGCTTAAAGCAGTAGGAGATTGAACAGAACAGATCCCTAACCGCCAGCTACTTTTATTACACATATAATATATAAAAATTACAAAAACAACCCTGTTTAAATAATTAAACAGAAAAACACCACTATAACCCTGCTGCCAATATGAAACAAATATAAAGCTTCTAACATCAACCTTATTTTTCTCCCTACCAAAATATAGAGGAATGATTTTGTGGAGATGCACAGGAGTAGCTACATTGTGGACGATCAAGGATGAAGTCCAGGACTTTTGTTGATAAATGCCATTCTAGAGAATTAATTATCAGTTGGTAAGATCAGAGTAATGCATTGGCGAAAGACAACAGTGGAGTTATGTAATTACCCCAGTAAGGATACACTAAGAGAATGGAAAATGGCAGTGACAAAATCTACAAGAAGAGATAGGTTTATCATCTCATGGCCCCCACCACAACAAAATGTGGTGAATCTTAACTTTGACTGATGCAGCAGAGGTAACCTAGGGCAATCAAGTATAGGAGGTGAAGCAAACTAAGTGAAGCTCAACTTCGATGAATGTTCTTTAGGCAATCCTGGAAATTCAGGCTTTGGGATTGTAATTAAAGATAGTCATGGGGCTGTGCTAGGCCAATAGGTTTATTCTCAGGACATAGGCTATTAGGATTCCACAAAAGCTGGAGTTGATGGTTGTTCTACAAGGTCTAAGACTGAGTTAGAAATTTGATGGTGGATGGAGATTCCCAAGTTGTGGTGGGATGGTTAAGGAAGATCTGTCAAGGTACATGGCACTATATGCATAGTTTAAGAGAGATTTAAAGCATAGTACGGGCTATGGGAGCAACTGTCAAACATGTTCCAAGATCAGCAGGCTCTCTGCCAGCTTCACTTGCAAGGCAAGGAGTAAGGGAACAAATGCTTTGAGGGTTAACCAATGGGTGATGTATGTGACTTTTAGGAGCTTTACTTTCGAGCAGATTTAAACATGTTGAATGTCATTGAGTATATACAACGAAATTCCTTCTTGGTAGAAATCATGAATAACTAAAAGGTCAATTGATAGCAAAAGGGTACATCCAAACTTACAGAGATGATAATACCTTGTTATAAAGAGTTCACCATTAATTGGATTCAAAGCAAGACTCCTCAACTTTCTCTTATGTTGACTGGAAACATGGGAACCTGGACGGTAACGAATTATGCATGGTGATGAACTGCTACGTATCAATGGAATCAATTCCTTAAATTCTTTTTGTTCTGCAAAAGTGAAAAATGTTTATGATATTACTAATCCAAACCATGGTTAAAAGCATGAATGTGAGAGAAATAATAGTAATAATATGGTAACAATATTATAAATAACAGAAACTCAAAAGAGATAATTTCAGAGAAAATATAAAATAACAGTCCGTTCAACAGAAGTTAAAGAATTACCTGACTTCCTTTTTGTCCCTTTATCTTGCAACTCAACAACTTCCTGCTTAGAAATGCCCCCCTTAATTTTCTCAAGACTCTTTGATTGAGTAGAAAAAGATGCAGTAGCTTGATTCTCATTATCAGCCAAAACTTTCATATTGAACTCTGGCAACTTTACATGTTCTGCAACTTGGGGATTCACTGCAGGAATAAGAAGTTGAGGTCTAGACTGAGTGCGGGTTCGAGAATGATCTTGATCAATTTGAATAGAGCTTGTTGACCCATGCACCACTTTCACTTCTGTAACACAATTATCCATAAGTTTCTTAGATCCTCTTATATTGTCTTGGGATCGAAGACGTGCCAGTTTAGATTGTGAATCATGTAACCGCTTCTCTGCTTGTTCAAGCTGCATGGATTTTTAATGAGATAACTAACAATTTCCAATAAATATTAGAGAGACTAAGTTGCAAGAAAGAGAAAAAACCATGTGTCCCATGGTGTATATGCAGTGATGCATTTTCACTAAATTCTCCCGTTTTATTTTCATTTTAAATCTTATGTTCCTCTTGTTTTAACATTATGGTTTTTCAATAATTCCTTGTAAGCATGATGTTTCAAGTGAAATTTAGTATTCCAATGTTGAATGGATCATTATCTATAATTTGCAAACTTTTCTGGCTTGTGTTTTAGACTTATATAACATAAATAAGCTAGAACAACCTAAAAGTGTAAAATCTCCATGATTAGTCATTTATGAGTATTGCGGAATTTAATAGTGCAGCCAATACATCTACGTTATAACCCAGCCACACCAACCCTATATCAAAAAGGGGATTACTGGTGCTGCCCTCAATACACACTCTTTTGATGAATACCCTTACAAGCCATAACCCCCACTTGAGCCTTGCAAGCCAATGGTTTATGCTTCCTTACGAAAATAAATAGCTAATATTGTCTTCAACAAGTGGACCCCATCTTCTCGGAGTATAACCACCAAGTTGGATGAGAATTAGAAGCCCAAGCTGCAAATAAGAGTGATTTCTTCTATCAGAATCTGATTTAAAAACCCAATTTCCAGGTTTAACTCTACTTGTAACAGTCACAAAAAAAAAAAAAAAAACATAAGGTTATATGAGCTTAGTCATTTTAATCCTGCTGTCTCTGTGTGTTGGGGGGGGAGCTTGTTGATTATTCTGAATTTGGAAAAGATTGGCAGAGTTGTATTTGATTGTTGATTTCAGAAACCCGGATATCCTGTCTATACTCTTTCTTCACTAGGATAACTAAGATGCAAAGATCCCCACGTTTGATTTCTGACATATGTAGAAAGTTTTTCCTTTGCTTTTTATTTATTTAGTCATTAGTCATTGTTGCAATTATCATTAGGTTCTTACTGAAGTTGATGCAAAGAGGGAAAAGGATACATTATCAGATTACAAATGATGACTACTTATTTTAAGTCCACACAGTTCGTGATGGACAGAACCAGACAACACCGGATTGAAATGTTAGAAGGGGGCGGGGGGGAGGAGGAGGAGGGAGTAAAACCTGGGACTTGTAATAGGTTATCCTCTGATGGAGATGCTCGACTTCTTTGGTTCTGTGCTCTATGAGCGCAACCAGCGCTTCTTCCTCATCCCTGTGGCTGTCTCCTTCTTTCTCTTCCACCCCCGTCTCCGAATCCGTCTCCACCTTGGGCTTCTTTAGCATCGGCTTCATCCTCCTTTGTTGCTTCTTTCTTGAGTTCTTCTATTCGGTGAGAACGATTTCAATTGACCATTAAGGGAGAACAGAAAACCACCCATTTAAATGGACCAGGCAAGGAAGGGGCAAAACAATTTCTGGCCGATACCAAAACAAAATTAAAAACAAAAAAATTAGTATCCGATACAGTGCAAATAAGTGAATAACAGCTAATTTTGTCTTGTAACGGCCGATATCTATATTATATTTATACGTATGTTAATTTTATAAATAAAGTATAGATGCACATGTAACTTAAAATTTTTTGAATTAAAATTGCCCTTGATTTTTTTGTTTGAAAAGGGTATAAGAGTTATTTTATTATAATTTTAATCATAGTTTTTATAACTATTAAACTGTCCATATTTATATATTTAGTTCATCTCTAATTGTAAAATTGAAAATGTAACTTCAATTATTATTTTTTCATTTAATCCCTTTTCATTAATTCTTGTAGTATTAATTATCATTGTCTCTTACTAAATCCTATATTGAAGTTATTTTTCATTAATACATGCTATTAATTAAATCTATGTCAATATTTTTAACAATATAAACCCATATATTTTAAATTCGACTCAAAAACAAAACCATTCTTTGTACAAGAGCTAGTTAATCAATTCAACCATAAAATCAAATTGATCAATCTATAAAGCCATAGTTAGATAATAAGATTTTTAAAATAAAAATAGATATAAAAATTATAAAATATAGAAAAAAAAGTATACACATTTATGACATTTTTATTAATAAAATTAAAAAAAATAAGTATAATAAACAATAATTATTTTTATTGATAATGAAAATGAAATGCATAGTTTAGAACTAATAAAAAATGAAATTGTTTTGCTTTTGTCGAAGATCAATAGTTCAACTTTTCCGTCAAATGCATTAACCTTTAATGTCATAAAATAATTAATAAAATTAAAAAATATATATAAAATGAAAATAAAAAAAACATAAGTTTTGCGAAATAAAAAGCATCCAAGCACGTGTATAATATCACATTTTTATCATATTAAACAAAAAGTAAGTGTAACATATCGAATTATTTTTACACATAGAAATACAAAAGAATTATAAAAAAGATTGACCATATCTATAATTCTATGTTTATACTACTATTAAAAATATAAATAAGATTGTGGAACTTTTTTTTACTAAAATACTCATTTTTTAATTTAGTCCATATTCAATAGGTTTAAATTGTAAATTGAATTACTCATTTTCACCCCATCCAATCCCCTTTATTTAAATATTATATTTTTTACAAATTAACAAATAAGGATACACCAAAGAGATAAAAAACATTACAAAAAATAATAGTTTAGCCAAGCATGTAGGCTTGTCAATGATACTTAAAACTTTGCAACTCAATCCCATTATCACATATTTAGATGAGGTGTTGTAATCAACTTTGATTTTTGCAATATACATTTAATTAATAATAAAAACAAAAAAAGCATAAAGTTTATGGAAAATTCTATATGCATTATTACTATCAATATCATCATCTAGAATTGCCACGTGCAACACTTACTAGTAAAGTATAAATGTATAATGTCACTTAGGTCTAGTTATTGTAGATAGCTGAAAATGCAACGCTCAATTGAGATGATTGCATGTAGACCCGTTTACGGATAAGACATTGCCTTCTTTATTAAAATTAAAAAAAAAATGTTCAAATTCGAGCTTGAGTTTGATCTGACCATCAAACTTATATCTTGAGCGCAATCCCAACCCTTAAAGTTTGACGTCTAGCCCAAACCTAAAGCTTGGTCTAAAAATAAAAAAGTATTACCTATGGTGTAAAGTATTGACATGGTATTCTCAAAACAAGGTGTATCATATCTATGTCCATGGTCATGGGTACAAGATATGCCACCATTGAGTATATATCCCATGAGTCATGTGTATTGGCATGATGTGCCTTCACATTGGGCCATATCGCACCGTATTGATGGATACATTCTGACATGGAAGCATATTAGTTAGTGCCTAGTTTGATGAAATTGTACATTGATTGCCTTTGGATTGCTTTTTAACTTTAATAAAAATTGAAAACTATAATTATAAAAGCTGAAATAAATAATTTAAGATTTAATTTTACCACATAATTTAATAGAAATTGAGAATTATAAATATATTTTATATACCTTAAATGATTTATATGTTCTGTCTTACATATAATTATATGGTTAAAATGAAAACATATTTATTATTTAAAAAAATCGAGTTATTATATAAAACACTAAATAAATAAATTTTCCCAACAAAATTAATAGAAAATTATAATCACAAAAACTAAAAAAAAAAAGTTAAGTTTTAATTTCCCCCAAAATTTTAATAAAAACTAAAAAATATAAAATATTTTATTTTATCTACCTTATATGATTTATATGTTTTATTTTACAACTATATGTAAAATAAAACAATTATATGTTAAAAATGAAAACATACTTATTATTTAAAATAAATAAATTTATTATTTATATAAGATATTAAATAAATAAACTTTCAAAAAAATTAATAAAATTTGGAAATCATAATTATAAGTATAAAAATTGAAATAGAGTGATAATTATTGTATGATGTGTACATGTTCTAGAGTCACGGCATTATTGATTGTAATGTTTATATTCATATAACATATTAAAGTATGCATGTCTCGTATGTTTATACCTTATTCATAGATAATTAAACATTAGATTTAGTATTATTAATGCATTTATGTGGTTTGTATGCATTTTCCTAGAATATCTATGTGTTTCTATATATTTCGTTTGTATCCATGCGTTTCCAAAGTGCATCCATATCTTATTTGTTTGATATGATACCCAATACCAATACTTTTATCCTTGAAACTAACATTATATTAATTTGATAATAATTTAACAAACCAATAAACTAATTCTTATTCCTAAAATTGCAAACTGGTATTTGATAATAATTTAATAAACTAATTCTTATTTTTATATGTAACATTATTCGGCCAAGCTTAGGCTTGGGGCAGGGCTTATTTGAAAAACCCAAGCCCATTGGCCTAAAATTTTGTCCAAACCCAATCAAGAATGGACAAGGTCAGGTCAGCCCTTTAGGCTACTTGGCCCATAACTAGGTATAGTCACATGGCACCCCTCTCCAAGCTTTTAGAAAGATGAAAAAACAATTACATCCGGGCTCTTTGTTTGCAATAAGCCAACAACATGTCTTTTTTTTTTTCTTTGAAGAGAATAGAATTGACTAAACAAAATGATTGCTTGCATTTTTATTAGGGGTAAGAATGACATTTCCATTGTTATTTTCTTTTGAACAATTTTGTTTAAATGAATGTTAAGGTCAAAACCACCAATTTTAACTCCTATCAGGCATAAGGTGGATTAGGTAAATTGGTTATAAACCAAAGGGGAAATTTTAGTAAAACACAAGCTATAGGGTAGATTTTAGTGAATTTGTGGAACTATATGGGATGTTTAAGTAAACTATTAAGTGTGCTTATGATTTTAACTTGACAATTTTTTTATGATGAAGATGATAGTAAATAATTTGTTTTTGAAATTTTCTACAATTTTTTTTTTTATATTTATATGCTTATACAAGTTGTCCTTATTTGTCACACTTATTTTTTAGTTAATATAATGAATATACGATATTAGAGATATGCCCAAATGATTGCTACATTTTTTTTGTATTTTTATACATTTGTGTTTTTTCATTTTTTAATTTTATTATTATTTAATTATGACAGCAAGGATTTACACATTTGACCCAAAAGGTTGAATTTTGTACTCACCACCAAATGGGAAAATAACTCTGTTTTGGGTAGTTACCATATAAAAACTCCATTTTTGGGTTTATTTTACATTTGTAGACCAACAAATGGGTGGCTTAATTGGTATGTTGGGGGATGGTTGCCCCTTGTTGTGTAACTCAATGAACCAAATAAAGAATTTGTATTCTATTTCTATCATCAGTAAAAACAATTATAAAAGTGTGAATGCAATGTAAAACTTTTTTAGACTAAAATTACCCTATATTTCTTTGTTTGAGAAAGGGTATAAAAATCATTTTATTATAGATTTAGTAAAATACCACAATAAATAAGCATCACCATCATATGCAAATGTAAATATCATGATTAACAAAACTAAGCATTAAGTAAAATACTACACTCACTAAAAGCAAATTACACATGCATTGAACTTTTAATCTAGGAGTGTATATTTTTTTGGAATGTGAAAATTATTATAAACGAACCCACTTTTCTAATTTCCTACCCTAAACATCAGCATTTACTCTTTTTTTATTTTTATTTTATTTTATTTTTTTTGCTTTTTTTTTCTTGAATCTTGAACACATTTCAGCTTAGGAAACCTCTTATTCAACTTCCAACAAGGCCTAAATTACTTGAATCTTGAACACATTATTGAAAGATTTTAAATCCTTTCCCCATTTTTAGCATTTGATCATGTTTGTCCTCAAAGAAATAAAGTTGAAATCTCTCCAAAGCACATCCACAATGAGAAAGTTAATGAATTAATCAAGTTAAATAGAGCTAAACCTACCTAAGAAGCTAGAAACGTAACTTAAATTTCAGCGTCCAAAGTCAATAAACATCAAAAGAACAATGCTAAAATCTCTTCCAATGTTTCCATAACAAACAAGTTCAAGAATCAAGGGTTTCAAAGAAATCACTAACCGAAATTGAATTAGCGCAAGTCTTTCTTTTATTACTTATTAGTAAGGAAAAAAGGGATTAAACTTCTACACTAAAGCTGATTTTTTTTACCTCATAACACATAAAACCCAATAAAACTCATTTGTTGGTATTTTATTCATAATTATCTTAGGAACATCCTACTGAACCCCCACCTACCAACCTAAAGCTAAAAGACCCCACAACACTCATCCTAACCCCCAATTTGCATGCATTATTTAACATTATTGGATTTAACATGTGTACCTTATTTCATCACAAAAAACCCATCCCCAAAGTTTATTTCCTTCAAGCATTAATTCCAACAAAAGCATACAAGAATATTCATTTTGACATAGGCAAATTTCCTAAGACAAAATTTCCATCACTTGTCATCATGTA